TATATATATATATTAGNTTTGTGTGTGTATGTATATATATATATATGTGTGTGTGTGTATGTATGTATGTATGTATGTATATATGTATATATATATGTGTGTGTGTGTGTGTGTGTGTGTGTGTGTGTAATTGAAGTTATGATGTCATGGTAGAAAACCAAACATGCTTGCAAGGAAGATGAAATGAAATATGACGTGAAAGCGTCTAAATTAATAGAGAAATTTGTACTGTTTCTGAGAGTTGTTCAATTTGTGGCGCCGATTGAGTCACTGTGCATGAACCATTTTGTATATTGAAGTATGGCTCAATACCACCGGTTACTATAGCAACCACCCGCCGACTACATCAAGTTATCACTTAAGAACTCTCTTTGTGCGTCATCACCAGTCTCTATTTGGCAATATCATATGCTGCCGTTGGCAGTGTTTGGTAAACAGGTCTCCTTGTGGCTGGTCATAGCACACCAATCTGACTTAACTTCAGAAGCACCAGCCACTATAGTTGAGCCATACCATTGCGCAGTAGTATCCCTTTAAGAGATTTTTAGCTTAGGTTCGCAGAAGCACTAGCCACTATAGTTGGAGCCATACCATTACGCAGTAGTGTCCATTAAGAGCTTTTCAGCATATGTTCACCCGCCTCTTGATGGCAATAGGATGTGTAGCTGTTTATAATTTGGTTACTGAAATGTTCGTGGTTGGTCCTTTCCTTTCCTTGTGACATGAGAAATACATGTACTACCAGATCTGGCACGACCCCAATACCTACAACAGCAATGCACCAGAGCGTCGCTGTGTTCTGAGACTGAGATGACGGTTCGTGAAACCATACCAATCAGTGCTGGAATTTAGTAAGTAGCGAGTACCAAAGTCCGGCATCGCGACCAAAAACACTATGTTAGCACTGGTATAATAAAATCAATGGAATCAATGGGAAGTGTAATTTGGATGTTCAATTGGCATAAATATCCCATTCTAGTCTTCGTATAGAACTCAATACGCGACCGTCTATCAACCATCACATCACACTGTTCACAGCCTACCAATCACAGAGGCAGATTCAGACCTACGTGTGCTATAAGTCCCAACTACCCTAAACCGTGCGAAGCTAGCTGAAAGTCGCAGATATAAATGTGTGTTCTGAGTTATAGGAGGCCATCGATTGCTTCACATGTCGAATGATAGTCCGTGCGTGTATAGAGTAACCGTCCGATTCAGGAGACACGAATGTTTCAACTGCACAGACAACGCGCTCGTGTATGCGGCTAAGTATGTGTACGGTTTCATTGCAATGTTACAGCATTCATGAAGTTTATCTACATGCTTAAGCGACTTCTCCCTATCGGCGTCACACATCAAGTGTTGTACCAATCTGGTCCATAGACTAGCTCGGGCGCAATACACCGACAATCATTGCAGCCTCTTAAGAACCTCCGCACCGATGTCTGCACGAGCGATCTATAAAAGAGGATAGGAAGAATAGAACAAGGTGAAACTACTAGCTTATGATAGACAAGACATATGTTTTGAGCGGATGCAGGTCGCAAAATAGCAGAGCCTCGGAACTGGTGGAACCCTCGTGTGTAAGGGGCATGTATGTACGCCTACAACATAAAATGTGTTTATGTGCTCTTGATTAGAAGGATTCAGAGATGTCTTGATGTGATAGCCATTGCCCAAGACTGCATCAACTACAAGACTAATCGTGTATACCGTGGAGTACGATGTACGACAAGACGGACCCAACCAAGACGAGCCCAACCACGTACGTTGTCACACCATAAAGTAGTTTACGTAACCAGTTGTGGATAGTTTATATCCCTGAAGCCCTAACAATACACAACTATGGGCAAGATGCGACACACCATCTATACTGGCAAACTACAAAACCGTTACAGCTGGTAATTTAACGCCTACAGAAACATACTCCGCCAGGAGATTTCGCGAAATATATGCAATGTCACGCATGCACGCGTATTACACGCCCTTTACACTCCTTGAAGTGTACTCTCCATACAGATCTCCGCGTGTGTCGCAATGTCTCCTTACGATTGCCTCGCCGAATTCTCCCAGCTCAAGAGATTAAGTCTGATCCGACCTTTTCACACTAGACGTGTGCCCCAAACGTGGACAAAGCAACACACGCCCAAGTCAACGCCTGCATATTCGTCGCACTACACACTCACCTTGAACTCCTCGCGCGTGGCCATGTCTCGAAGGGTTACTATGCCGGCTTCCAGCTCATCTCCGCCGATGATAGCGGCGTAGGGGATACTCTCCACTTCACATTTTTGGAACTGGTTCAACATTTTCGGGTTTGCCTTGTAGATGGTTTCTGACTTGACACCGGCGTCCCACAACTCGGCGAGAAGTTTCATACGTGGCTTTAAGAAGTCTTTCTGGCCACTTACTACCAAGACCTGGAATAATCCGTGAACAGGACAAAGAAAACTTGGTTTAGTCGATAAACTCGGTTTAAGATAATAGTATATAGGCTTTGAAGATGGATAAAACCGATATCAATAGATGAGATTAAATATGCATTCTCCATTGACTTGCTGGGGTAATGTTTGTTTATGGAGCCGGTGCGGAGACATAATGTGATACTATTGGACAAAAGGTTTCGGTTGAGTACAGTGCCACAGTTGGATTCTATAGTGAGCCTTGTGCACAACCAGGTAGAAAAATGAAGTACAAAGGAACCGATGCATCTCAGTTCATACGGCCGCGGTTCGCACTGTCATTAAGCTGGGAAGACATACAGCGCCTTCAACCCGATAGAATAGATAGCACACCAGGAATCAGTCAGACGTAATATGCTTCTGACAAATTCCAAAAAAAAAATATTATTCTGTACGAGCCTACATGTGTATAAGGATACCATCCCGTTCAGGCTCGCTCAGACAACTATATACGTACACATATGCATATACATATTATACATACACATATACATATACATATTATACGTACACATATACATATTCATATTATACATACACATATACATATACATAATAAAAATACACATATACATATACATATTATACATACACATACATATACATATGTACAGTATTCAAAAACCCTCCATCTCCGACACACCTGAGTCTCAGTGGTGCGCTGCTTGTTGGGGTTGTTCTTCGCCTTCTCGGCCAGAACCGCAAATATACGCTCCACTCCAATACTAATGCCCACACACGGGACTTGCTTGCCCTTCGGGTCAAACATACCCACAAGACCATCGTAGCGACCTCCCCCGGCGATCGAACCTACTTGTCCTTCCACTACCACCGCCTCGTAGATGACACCTGCAACCCGATCCAAAACAAATGAATGTGACTATCTTTGTGGACGTGCATGACATCCGCGTACTCATCCAAAACGCACGGGCGTGACTGACTTTGTGTATGTGTATGGCAGTTGCAACCCCATCCAATTACGCATGAGTGTGACTTTTTTGTATACGTATATGACATCTGCATGTGCATCCTATACGCACAAGCGTAACTGACTTTGTGTATGTATATGACATATACATACCCACCCAATACGATCGAGTGTGGCTACCACGAAGTCGAGAATGACTGACTTTTGTGTGAATCATACGAGTGTGCCTATCTTTGTGTGTGAATCATACGAATGTGCCTATCTTTGTGTGTGAATCATACGAGTGTGCCTATCTTGTGTGTGAATCATACGAGTGTGCCTATCTTTGTGTGTGAATCATACGAGTGTGCCTATCTTTGTGTGTGAATCATACGAGTGTGCCTATCATTGTGTGAGAATCATATAGTGTGCCTATCTTTGTATATGTGTACATCTGCACAGTCATCCAAAATATCCGGAATAAGACTATCTTGCGTGTGACAGCGCACGAGTTGTGAATCGATGTGTATTTGGCAACTGTACACCCACCAAAAACACACGAGTAAAACTAGCGTTGTATACGATAACGTACGTGCATGATCGTCGCTGTGTCTGTATACAACATGTGCACACCCACCCACAATGTAAGAGTGTGACTATCTATGTCATGAAGCGTCCGTACGAGTGTTCCTGTCACTTGTGTCCGTATATGACAACTGCACACCCACCCACAACGTCCGCAAAGTACCGTGATTGGTAACATCGTTTTGCAACCAGCGAACAACAGGACGCACATGCACAAGCAAACAAGAATCCGCTAACACACGGCGGTATACCTGTGTAGTAATCCAGTCCACGGGCCAGAGACATGTCTAATTGGATGTGGTCGAGCACGCCGTAGAGCTCCAGGTATTCACAGAATGTTTCCATATCTTTTAATCCTTCCATGGCCCGAGCGTTGTCTTTCAAGGACGTCTCGCGTAGTGCTTTGATGAGCGCAAAGTTTTCCTACGGAGACATAACAGGCGATGTAAATATCACACTACTACCTTGTAGGTAGAGCACATACTCAACACAGCACAAACGGCCCTTTCTCTGGGCAGGCAATACGGACTATGCGAAAAGCCACTTTAGATACCATATACACTACCAGTGCACACTCACGGCACACTAGACCGTTCTTAAACGTAGAATAGTCACCCGATCTACACGTAGACACGCACCTGTCCGCGTCCCTTCATCTTGACAAATGGCTCGATCAAATCAGCATTCTCTTCGGGTAGACCCTTCTCTTCTACCATTTCTTTCTTCACATCCGCCCAGGACATTTTGTCTAGCTTATCCACAGCTGAGCAAATCGGCCTTGCAATGCATGTAGAGCGAACAGATTGTTAGATGAAGGCGAGAAGCCGCTATGTCACGAAGAAGCTGCTTGATTCATATATATATATTTATATATCGACACACGCATGACAAATCCTGCCATTCACAAACACACCTGAAATCGGCCTCTGGTACTCCACACGTCTCAAATAGACCGTCCAGAATCTTCCTGTTGTTGACTTTGATCACGAACTCACCGATGTCCAGCGATGAAAGGATCTCACAGGCAATGCGCATGCACTCGGCGTCAGGCATCATGCTCTCGTACTCACCAGCAACATCGAAATCACACTGACAAAGGTAGGTAGGAAGGGATAGTGGGAGGCGTGAGATAATGAGATGTTGCGGTGTGGTGGTACGCCATACTTCTCAAACATGTGCACCACTCTAGTTGCTTGCGCTATTTTGCATTGTTATCCAGAAACACTCGCAACATCGAAGCACTTTCAGAGGTTATAATTAGCTATGAGATGGGGAATTGATGAACACTAAAAGGTAAGTAGGCGTACAGATACCTACTATGCGAGCATATATACACTTCTAGCGACATGTGACAGTCTTTTCATGCGTGTCTACTACCCAGACGCACTTGCCTCTGTCTACGCATCTCCCGACGATCCCGTCACCCCCTCCTTCCCTCGATCTCAAGCGCGTGTGTGGCTAATGAGACGACTCTTGCCTACCTGTAAGGCGTCCAAGAGCACATACCTGATAGAACTCACGGTAGCGTCCCTTTGACATGGCGGGTGTGTCGCGCCGGTACACCTTGGCAATGTGGTATCGTTTCATTTGTTTGGTCTTGTTCATTGCCAGGTAACGCGCAAAGGGGACCGTCAGATCGTATCGCAGCGAGCAAATCTCGCCACCCTGGGTGTGGAGAAGGTACACGTGTATGATGGTAAGAAAATGGATACGTCCCTACAGCAATGCGAAGTGGAGATTCCTCCACATTGCGATTCAATACCGCTGTACACAGCTATCATACTATGGGACATGCGCTATAGATCAAACACTTAGCACAGCATGCCATCTGATCTACGGTAGCACAAGGTAGCCAGGCTAAGAACGAAACAATAAATCTCGAGACGACAAGAACACTTTTGAATTGTACGTTCATGCGTATTATGTAGTACCTGGTCCTTTAAATCGTAGATGAGCTTTGTATCCTCACCGTACTTGCCCATCAGAGTGTCACGAAGCTCGAAAACGGGTGTGTCTATAGCCTCCGCTCCATGGCGCTTAAACACGGCTATGATCTTACCGATCACCTCCTCACGAATAGCCATACTTAGAGGGTCCTGGTAGCACAGCGCAAATGAGATACATACACAAAAGTCAGATGCTGTTCGTAATTTGATGCAGTAGGATTGACAGTCGAGCACACAGAAAACATCCAGTACAACTCCGTATCGGCGGATTTACGATGACCTTGTGATCTGTACTTAGGCGTGGGCGGGCTCACCTCTCAACGGACACATGGATACAGGCGCATGGACTTTAAAATGCATCTTTCTGACACCATCCTACGGAGAAGCATCAGTGGTTAACTAGACGCCGAAGTATGCAATTTACCAGATATCTTGATAACTGCTATATTTATATACACAAACATCACTCATGATCAACACAGCGTTGTATGAAATAAAACACCACTCTCGCAATGATAGTACACGTGTATTTATGTATGTACGAATGTATGGTGTATGTATATAAACGCATGTATATAGTGTGCATGTATGTATCTATAACTCTACAGAGCCCAAGAATACTTCATTATAGAATATTTATGAGCACACCATCCCCAAACATCACACTATGGGGTACAAGTGTACAAACGCACAATTAAAAATAGGACATCAATACCAGCTAATAATTTGATGCACAATACCACATGTATTCCGTCTAATATTTTGTAAAATTAGGTGTGATACGCATTGTATATATATATATATAGATATATATATTATATATATATATGTGTGTGTGTGTGTGTGTGTGTGT